TGATCCCTCGGAAGCATTAATCACAACAAAATTACATAAGAATTGCAGATTCGGTTTAATTGAGTCTGCACATGAGGGATAATGAACAAGTGCAAACATCCCTCATGCCCCCTAGCACCGGCTTGAACGGTACTCCAATTCTCAACACTTAATAGCGCTGGCATCAATGATCCCGAAGGACCAGAAAAACACTGAAGTGAAGTACGGGCAACTTTTTACAGCTGCCAACACGGCACTTGACACCTGCTGTTGTGAAGTATAAAAATCTGGAAGCAAAGTGATCCCTCGGAAGCATTAATCACTACAAAATTACATAAGAATTGCAGACTCGGTTTGATTGAGTCTGTACATGAGGGATAATGAACAAGTGCAAAAAGTTTTTATTCATACTGAAAATACCTTATTAAAGATTGTACATATGTGCTACGGATAAGTATTTTCTTGATTTCGGAAAGGAGATCTCGGTGGCCGCTTTAAAATCCTATTTTTGCAAATACTTGCATAGTTTTTGTTGAAAATGAAATTGTGCCAATACATTTTTCAATGATACCAATAAGAATATTGGATGGTTTTTACATTATCAATAAAATTATTCCCTTGAAGTTGGTCATTGTTTCCCCTAAAAATTTCCAAATCGCCGATGTTTCTCAGGAATATATGATAAACAAGATCAACAAGGAAAGGCGGCGCTCAATGAACGCAACCCTACATGACCCAGCAACAAGAACAAGTGACAAGAAGCCCAGGCGGACCCCAAACAAAACACAGGACAGGGCACTAGGCATAGCACGGACAGGCTAATCACTTAAATGATAAATAATTTGTAACTGATAAGAACACGATGTTAAATAATAAGGTAATGCACAAGTTCTTCATCATAAATGGTAAAATCAGCAATTTCAAGTGATGTTGGCTAGTGACAAAACTTTTGTAACAAATGTAACACGGTATATATGTTATGAAAAAATGCCGTATGTTGTCCTTCAGTTTTATTTAAAAAAATATGGAGAGGCGCCGTTTTATACCTGTCCGCAATAGAAGTTCGTAAAATACTCCGGGATGGGCGGGGGCGTTATGCTTGACTTAAAATCGTTTTAAAACTTTGTGAATCTACTTTTGTCATTTTAAACATGTTACTGTGTTAACGTACTCTTGTAGTTCTACAAACTGGTAACACGTTTTCTTAAACTCTATTTTCCGTATTCGAGTTTTACATTTCATTTGTATATTACAGATCTATAAGTGTACAAACATGCGTATGTATTGCATGCAATGGAAGATACGAACTTGTAAATTTGTTGTCGTTTTAGATGTTAGGTCAGTTGTTACGATATATATGTAAACTTGTTATATAAAGGCGGTAACCTTCAATTAAAAGATTGAATTAAGAGGCATACAATAAAAATGGTAGGCATACAAGTTCGCATTTTCAAAAGTCATTTTAAAAAGGAACACTTTACATGTCTGGAATTTTGGCAACGAACGCCCTCCATATATGCATAGTAAATGACGCTAAGGACATGCTTCGTAATCTCTCAAATTCAATGAAATTGCTGAATTTAATGGACTTAGAGAATATAATGTTGTCAGAAAAAAAGAAGGAGTTAAAAAAACTATGTCAATTATGAAGAAACTAAAGTAATGAAGTTTACCCCAAACCATTAACCATTCTTTAATTGACTTGTCCAACTTCTTATCTATCATTAGACATATATCCATTATATAAATTGAGGATATTAAGATGAAACTTTGGAAGTATGTCAACCAATAGTATAAAGCCTGGTCAGACATAGGCAAAGTACGCGTTACCTAGCTGAAATAAATCAACACTTTGTTTTGTTTGCAAAATTACAAAAGTTCAAAGAGCATACATCTGAGTCCTTAAATGCATTCTATTTGTTACTTCTATAATATGATCACGGACATTGTTCCTGAGATTATTCTTTTACATCTACTGATATCTATTATGAATGTGTTTGATAGTTCAATATTCTAATTTCGACGGAGAGTTATTTTATATATGTCTATCTGTTTGTTTTGAAGTATATAAATCTTCATATGTATGTATGTTAATATTTAACGGGCATTAAAAACAAAAACATTAAAAAGGTTCTTTTATGAAGCAAATGAAATGTTTTCTATAATAATTTATTTGTTGTATTTTCAAATATTTATTTTATCAAATATCAATATACACACACAAAATTTAATGCAGAAAATAATTTTCATTTATATAGATATCAATAAAAGAACGCTAGCGCAACTAGCAACTGAACTATTACATAAACAGTATATTTTTGGATTCAAACGTAACAGGTTACAAAGCCATGCAATACAACCAATACAATGCATACGTTGAACTGGATAAAGGAAGGCAAATACCAGGTAGGTACTTAAAAATCGACCGACAGTGCGAAAATTTCTTTTAACTCCTGGATTTTCTTAAACATAAAACAATATAAGCAAAAATAACCTTGAAGTCCAGACAACACCACAAATCCTGATGAGAATTGTTTCAGTTTCAAAGCCGGATTAACTTCCCTTTAACTTTTAATGTCGTCATTCTCACCACAGTTATTTGGCAAATGTGCTGAATTTCATTGTGTTGTTTTGTATCTTAATGGCTCTTTGCTAAAGAAAGTCGGATAGTATTTCAGTTTCTGGTCAAAAATGAATATAATTACTAACTTACAAAGCCACAGCACGACGAATATTTAAAGTTTAACTTATACTGGTGAGGATAAACTAACTTTCACAAACTAGAAAGTTTTGGCTTTGGACTGTACGTCAAAGTATATATGATACGCGTTACACCGTAGAAATCCTAAATGTCAAGCTATAATAACCATACAGAGTCTGAAATAACTGGACATTTACGACTTCCACGATGTTATCACATACATGTTTTATTTGCCGTTCAGTTAACAGTCAAGGAACATAATGGGAGTCAGTATATGTTTGCGTTATTTTGAGCCATTCACCGTTATCTTTTCAACTATAAAGCTAATATTTATTTTGAATGTATACGGATATGTTTTCTTGTGGCATATTCAAAACATTCGGATATGTTTTCTTTTGGCAGATATGTTTTCTTTTGGCATATTTCATTAAAAAGAAACACAGAATTAAATACACACTTTTATTGAAAGACAATAAACAACAAACACATAATATGTAACAACCTATCAATTATTTTGCATAATAGTATACATATGAAATTGAGTGAAAACTTTTGAGTTTGACTTGAATGCACTTTTTACTAGACCCCTTTTAGTTCGATATTGTTCGTGTTACTTTTAATTTAAAACATTTTCTTTAAAAAATGTTGTGGTCTATTCGTTTTCTTTAATATTATAGCAACTTTTTAGCATAATAATTCTACCTGAAAATTAGCTTGTGCAATAAACATACTTATTGTTATAAAGTATACTATGCCTTGCTCATGTCAGTCACTTCAAATAACAAATGTGCTTGGGTCTTATGATAGATTAAAACATGGTTTTATCAATAAGTGAAAAGATAATTATTTACAAAACGAACAATAAAAAAGAACAATTTGATAAAGGGTAAATTTTGCTGTTGACATTTATTAAGTTAACACCAAGGAGCATGATATTACAATGTACATGGAAACGTAATATTCGACAAGTGCGATTTAAATGAAATGATTAATTCTTTTGGAAATTATATTAATTACTTACCACATCTTTAATGTCATTATTTGTGGTTCAACAACAGGTATACGTAATAACTGGTGAAATCAATTATACATAACTCAAGCTGACTGTAATTTGTTTGTATATACATAATTCGTGTTCATATTAAAACCAAATTGGATCTTTATCTTACATATGCATGTTAGCATGATAAATAATGAAAAATGCTTTCTTTTATAATTAACGATATGAGATATGAGTTGTACAAATTCAAGCATAGAAACCAAAGTCAGGCATGAAATTATCAATATTCATAATTCAGCAAAATAAAGAATAGAATTTATACTGTTATTCATCAATTTTTCGTAAATCATAGGTCCGTATTCATTTTTTTCTGCTGAATTGATACACATGAGGCCTATTGATGATGTATTATTTTGTCATTTAGAAATGCCATACTTTTTTATATTACCACCGACTTTTAACATTTACGCACTTGTGCCAATGATTGCAACCATTTATATCATCACGATGATCAGGACAAAAGTTTCTTCATATGATATCATTATATGTCTAACTAGATGATCAATATACCTTGTTTAATACTGTTTTATTTCTTGGCTGAATTGAATATTATTTAAAGCTACTAGCTCATTCAAGGTTGTAGAGGAATTACAAAATTATAAAATAATAACCGATACAAATATTTTCAGATTATATTAAACCCATTGTTTTCTTTTAAAAAAGTGAAGCAACACGCATTGTCACACACTGTAGGGACCCTTTTGAAAGGAGCACCAAAGAACCAAGTGGTCAATTTACGTAGTTGTTGGCGTAAAAAGCTCTTCGGGGGTTCTATTGAAATTTATCAAGATCATGAACACCTAAAATTATTTTGGGGAATAATTTATATTTTAAGGTTTCCACGTCCTAGTGCATTTAACTGACAGTGATGTTATGATAATACAAGTGCCGGGGCTATCACTGCTACATTTGTCACTCATCAGTCACGAATATTAAAAGATTTCAATATTGCTGCGTGTTCACGAGAATATATCCGCAAGTGCATGTTTTCTTCTTCGTAAAAAGAACCTACGTGCGCAGTTTTGATGCAAAAATTCTTATTACAGTAGAATACCTACTTAATACCACCCTGGAATAATGACCACCCCGCTATTAAGTCCATTTTTTAAAGAACAGAATTTTCTGGTCTTTATATCAATGGTTACATGATCCAGAATTAAGACCACCTCGCTTATCCACTTTTGTGACCACTAGATTCAGTCCAAATTCTTTGTTTGTTCTTTTTTTTACCCCACTATTGATACCACTGATATTAAAGTCTAATAATATCTGTCATATGTTGCGGTTCGGACCGGAATATCCGTCCCGAGGGGACCCGCCCATTGGGCGGTAACTAGGCTTGCCATGGTCATAAAGTGTGTAAGCAATGATAAGAATATCCACAATTAAGACCACCCCGCAATTAAGACCACTTTGATCCAGTCCCGATGGTGGTCTTAATTGAGGGTTTTTACTGTATATCTTCAATAATTGAAAAGTAACAAGGGTTGAAAGTTATAAAAAAATAATAATGCCAAAATATTAATAAGGTGGTATTTCTTTTAGCAAGGTAGGCAATTAATATCTGTTTGCAGGCGTTAAATTATCTTTCGGTGACGTTAAACTAGAAACGTTTAACAAGCTTTTACTGATCTTAACTGAATCAAATATTAATTAATTGGCATAAGCTCAATAAACAGACGAATTTAAAACGTTACAAAAAACTAGAACAGCGAAAATATTTTGCGCTTAAGATATGAGCATGAAATATAATTACTTTTTATGAAAATATCTTTTTACAGACAAAATTGAATGTCGAATCACAATAATAGTCATTAAATCTGAATCTTGAATTTTTATCAAGCATTATACAATATTGTCTTCCTTCAAGATAGTTTGGCTGATTAGGCCTCCAACCGTCTTCGGAGACAGTTGTACCATCTGTCCATCTAAATTCCCTTGTGTTGTCGATGAGCCTTCCTCCCGTCCAGTAATTGCTCGAGTCTGTTAATTAATGTATACTTAACTGTTATATAATGTATACTTATACAGGTAGTCAACATTTATTGAATTAAACATTGAAAAAACTATTTTCTGTAAATCTGCGGGTTTTTGAATATTTGACACGGGACTAGTTTTAACAGAGAAGTTAAGAAGCAGCAACATTGAGTCCCTAAGAGTGTAAGCTTAATCGGTGTAATTTAAACGGAAAGGTAAGTGCCATTGAGCGGCTTATTCATTTTTATGATCACTTTAGATAGGGAAGATAGGATACGCCCGTTTAATAGTGAGCGAAAAACAAAAGTAAGTGTCTAATAAGACGTGACTCGTAATCATATGCAAGCAAAATACAAACGGCCCGTCACCAGGTGAAAACAATCTGGAAAACGGCACTTCTTCGAGGGCAATGAAATTTACAAAGTGTGGCCCGTTTGACCTTGTGGTCTGTTACCCTGTCCAATCTATGTATTTGATTAAGTATTTATGGCCTATATAATTGTTTAATCGAATTGTTTTTTTTTATCATTTCTTTAAAAATGATTTTATAACATTGTTATTGGTCGTTTAATTTCTGTCCCCTGTATTCATAGGTTATTAGTATTATTATACTCAGTAAAACACCCTTGTGACATTACCTTCCAAATTGTCAAGCCAATACTGTATAATTAGACTCTCTCTAAGGCCTATAACATGAATTTATAATAAAAAATTAGCTCTTTTGTGAACTTAAAAAATTTAACATTATCAAGGCTCTTTTACTATCAAACACTTAGAATAGTCAAGCGTGCTGTCCTACCGACAGCTCTTGTTGTGTGTGTGTCCCCCCCCCCCCTGGCTTTTTCACTGTAATTTTTGCTTATATTTAAATAAGTACTGGAAATATTTCATATACTGACAACATGTTGAAATCATCGATAAACCAGATAATTCCTAAGAAAAAAGGAATAGATTTTATTCACTGCAGCATAATGTACAGTTGTTGAAGAAAAAAAATTTATATCAATTCTTTAAGCAAAATTACCCCAATTTTTGGTTTCTCTCTTAAAACGTTATTTTTCATTAAAAAGCAAATGTTTGTGAGGATATTTGTGTGTTTAGAGGACTTATAAATAGTTTCGAAGCGCATTCCACGTTAAATCCGGATAAGAAAAGTTAAAGAAATTGAAGTAAAAAGTGAAAATATGGAAATGTATGCGAACAATGGTGATAATTCAGAACAAAATGGCGGCGAAAAATCCAGCGAAAATAACCAGTGTACCGTTAGTATTTTTGCATGAAAGAGATATATTTGGTTTTCCAAAGCCTAGCAACGCATATTTGAAGCATGAAGAGATGTATATAGCAATTGGTGAGGTAATTGCACCATCGCATATAACAGGGCTGCAAAGAATAAATGGATTATGGCGAATCTACGTGGAGAATTTGTCAGACAAGGCTAAACTTATGGTGAGTGGGTAACAATAAGGGGAAAGTCTATTCCTATCAAACAAGTTAACCCATTTTTCCTAGATAGTGAGAGAGTGACACGTATTAGAATACAAAACATTCCGCTTTCGGCGGATGATAACATTATAAAGCATGTATTAATACTAAGAGGTCTCGAAATACGCTCATTTATCCATGAAAAACTCAGAATAAACGGTAAACTTACTAACTGTTCAACAGGCGATCGCCTTGTTACAGTTAAATCATCGTCCCTCAAGGAACCTCTTCATCGTTTCATGGAATTTGGTGTTTTCAAGGCCAAAGTCATCCATAGAGGACAAGTTAACCCTGCTCTTAAATGCAAAAAGTGTCTTTCAATTGGTCACGTGATTGCTGATTGCAAAAATGAATGGAAGTGCATAGAATGTGGTGCAGATGGGCACAAGAAGGGTGAATGTGATGTGGGTACAGAGAAAGAGTCAGATCCATTGGGAAATCTGATCCCGCAAGAGTCAATAAGCCCCAGACTGGAGGAAATAATCGAAGCGGGAAGATATAAAAATGTTATTCCTCCTGCCCCCAGACACTCAACATCCTTTAAAACCAAAACAGAAAAGTCTCTAACCATACCAGAAAAAAATGAAAAATCAAAAGCGGAGAAAAAAAAAAAAAAATCAAAAAAAAATGAAACTTTCCCCAACATTCGTACGGTCAGAAAAATATTTTCCGAAAAATCCACAGGTGACCCCGGAAAATTTAAAAGTAGGACGTTTTCCCTTTACGCGGTCACCAAGTCCCCGCTAGACGACCCTACAGAAAAAAAAACGTGTAAATTAACTGTTTTGCCCCCCTATAAGAAACGAAAACAATGGAAAAAATACGGACATACGATGTAGATTATCGGATTTACACAGACAAACTGGTTTATATGAAACGCTGATCCCCATAAAGGAATTCCAGTGTATATTTTACATATTACTATTATTTATGATCTGTTCTCTCAAGAGTTTGTATTAAAGATAGTTTATGCTGAAAAAATATAAAATGATAGTAGTAAACTGAATAATAATATAGAGTATTAAGAACTATGAGTTTGAAAATACGTAAAGACTATATATTAGTGAAAATTAAGTTAATGAATAGATTTACTGCAAATATTTTTAGAATTAGAAATTATGAATATGTTAAAAAATACAATTATATCATATTCTTGAAGAAAAATTATGGTTTTTAACAGTCATCAGTATTTTTTTATTTTCTCACAATCAATCGTGAAATTCATGAGAACACTCATGCGCATAAAAACGATTTCTTTACAATGTAAAACTTAGCCTGGTCATGGAAAAAGAACTAATGTACTATGGTGACTTAGCAGCTATGTTTGAAATATTGAACAAATATCTGCGATTTTCGCTTTTTGATTACCATTTTTTAAATGTTAATCAAAAATAAACTCTGCACTTTCCGTGTTTTCTTAAATTATGTTATGATCATAGAAATTTTTCGTTTATATTTATTTAGTTATAAAATTCTCACTCTTGTTTACTGCATAAAATTGTTATATCTTCATAGATTTATTTACGAGAGTATTGTTTATAAAATAGTATTGAGATTACATATATCAGTAAAATGCATGATTTATAAATTTGTACTGTATACATTAGTCAATCTTATATTGTACACACGTTTATTTGGATCCACATGTATAACAGATGTAATCTCTGTATAACTGTGGTTGTAAATGTAATAAACTATTGTTGATATTTCATACGTTAGACGGGGGTAATTTCCATAAACTGACGTTGAGTTATTTCCATAAACTGGCATTGAGATTAAATAGGACAGTCAAGTGTTATCTCCATAAACTGTCGTTGAGATCACATAGGGTAATCAGAGGTTTTCATAAACTGGTGTTGAGATCATATTTTTTTAATCTGGGGTTATTCTCATAAACTGGCGTCGGTATTACATATGTTAATCAGAGTTATTTTCATATAATTGAGCTAAGATCATATATGTTAATCAGAAGCAATTTTCATAAACTGATACACATGTTAGTCAGGTGTTCTTTTCATGAAAATGGTGTCGAAATTGCATAGGCCAGTCAGGGGTCTATTTTTATAAACGTCAGTCAGGCGCTGTTCTCATGAACTGTTTGTCGATATTAAATATGTTAGTCAGATATGATTTATATATATTTGTGTTGATATTATATATGTTTAATAAGGTGTTATTCTTACAAGTTAAAGTAATACTGATTATGTCAGTCAAAAATTTGTTTTGTAAATTTATACAAAATAAGTCGGAGTTGAAAGATTACATTTTACTCTCTCTGCAATTCAATGGTATTATAGTAAATTTATGTTGAAATTTAAACGTGTCGATCACATTTTTTTTTCCATAACTTTCTGTTGTAATAGTCTTATTTTTGTTATCGTTAAATATCATTAACAATCTAAACTCATTTCCATGTAAAGATCAAACGAAATACATTTATACTTGTATCATTAATACATTAGGATCTCGATTAGTATACCAGATTTTGGTCCGAATGATATGCTATTATTATAGAGCTGTATTAAAGAATTTTGTTGAGGGGCATAATATCTCTACACTTTAAAACCTACTTTGTACAAAGTTGCGCTTATCAAGGTGTATCGAGAATATCTGCTTTAGTCAAATGTAAATTCTTATACTTCTTTACTTTTCGTTTTCGTAGTTAAAAGGGATATTTTTTACATTCCAGATACGTTTTTTTTTACAGTTATTAAATGCACTTGCAATTTTTGTTCAAGCAATAATATTTCCGTGTAAAGAACTATTCCATATGAGTAATTATATTCAATTCTTATCACTTAATTGTCCAAGGAATTAGACAGTTTGAAAAACGGGCAAGATTTTAAAACAATTATTCTGTCACAAAAATCCAGATTCTTCTATTATCAGAAACGCATATAACGGTAGACATTTGAAACTTAATTGCAAAAAGAATTTAATCGAATGCAAATATTTCACTTCATTGGCTCAAGTAGCAGTAGAGGATGCTCTATCTTTATTAATAAATCTATCATTTTGAATATATTGACACTCTTAAAGATACGTATGGGCGCTATTTACTTCTAATATAACCCTAGACAAAAATGGTTTACACTATTCTTAAACATTTATGCCCATAATGAATTATCAAAAAGAAACTTTTTTTTCCAGGATTTGTCGAAAATATTAAATGAAATGCTCAGGGATATATAATTGTCGGCGGAGACAATGAACGACATATTACAATCATCCGATAGATTTAATGTAAACAACAATATAAAAATTAATCCCGGGAAAGGTTTTGCAAATTTTATTAAATTAATAATCTGATAGATGTTTTGGAAACTTTTTAATGAAAACAAAACACAGTTTACCTGGCGAAGGAAAAATGGTACAGAAAAAAGTAGAAAGACTTTGGTTTAGTTGAAGAAAATGCAGTTCGTTAGTAGTAAATCCGATATAAGACCCGCTTTGTATTAAATACACAGATCATCAAGCAATATTTTTAAAATTACAACAACCATCAAAACGCGGAAATGGTTACTCGGAAGCATGAACATTCTACTTAAAGAAGAGTGATTATAAATTATTGATAGAAGATACAAAAAAATGCGAAGCTTGCTTTACAGAAACACAGTATTCAAAAACGACTTTGGGGAAATTATTGTAAATTAGAAATTAAAAATGCTTCGCTTACATATTCAAAACGGCGAGCAAAAGAAAGAAAAGATATATTATAAGAAACTTGAAACTAAAACTTAAAATATTACAAAACAATAGTATATTAGATCCGAGCAAATTGAAAATTAGAAAAAAGAAATCCAAGAACTATATTGAAACAAAGGCGAAAGGCGCACAAATAAGATCTCGAATAAATTTATGAAAAATGGAGAAAAAAACACGAAATTTTTTTTGAATCTGGAAAGTCGAGACAAACGCGAAAACGATTAACCACAAAATAAATGGAAATGTCTTTCAGATGAACGAAAATTTTTTAAGAAACAGTAAATTATTAAGAACAACTTTACACTTCTAGTAAATTCCAACAGATCATAATAAAAACGATACCTTACACTATTCAGTATGACAAACAAATTATCCGATGATGAAGCGAGTAAGTGCGAAGGCTATTTAAATTTGAATGCAAAATAAAAACTGCTGTTAATGGACTTAAGTGCAAATAAATCACCAGGAATTTGATGGCATTCCTGCAGAATTCTATCAAGAATTTTTTCTATTGTGTAGGCTCACATCTCACGAGTGTCTAAAATGAACTGTTTTTAATAAAAACTCATTATCTCATTCCAAAAAATTAGTTGTCTTTCTTTAGTTTGTAAAAAAAGGGGACCCATTATTTTAGAAAACTATCGACCAATCTATTATTATGTGTTGATGTAAAAATTGCAACTCGTGCTTTGCCAATAGATTGCAAACTGTAATTATAAAAATAGTAGCTTAGACCAACAAGGTTATATTAAAAAACAGATTTATCGGATATATAACATACGTTTTTAATACAAGACATAATAGATTAATTCAGAAAAACTTTCAAAAGATGGTTCCGATAATGTTTCTAGATTTTCGTAAGGCCCTTTGATACTCTAGAATGGAATTTTTTAATATAATGTCTTAAACATTTGGGTTTTAAATGCAACTTTAGTAAACTGGGGTCCGAAACATTTTGATAATGATATTAAATCATGTATTTTTAACACAGTGACAGTAAAATCAGAGATATTTAACTTAAATCGAGGTTATTAAACAGGGATTTCCATTATTTGCTCTTTTTATTTATATTAGCTTGCTGAAATTATGGCCATTGAAATAAGAAAACTCAAACAGTAATAGAAGGATAAAAAATCGAAAATAATAATAAACAAATTAAAATAGCACAGCTTGCTGATGACACTACTCTTTTTCTGAAATCTGAACCAAGACATTCTGAAATGCAATAAAATCTGGTAGAGCGCTTTGGCAATACTCGGGTTACAAACTCATAGCAAAAAAAACTGAAGCCAATGTGGATAGGAAGAAGTAAATCACGAACTGATAAAGTAGGAAATAACATGGCCGAATAAACAATTAAAGCACAAAGGAGTCTATTTGGCATACAATAACGAAGAGTGTTCTAAACTCAATTGGCAGTCAAAACTAACTGATGTCAAAAGGTTAATAAAAAACTGGTAAAAACGTAAGTTAAAGATGTATGGAAAAGTTCAAATTATAAAATCGTTATTTGATACCAAAATTTACTTATTTGTTTCATTCTTTAGTTGTGCCAGAAAGTATCGTGAAAGAAATCAATACAAATGATATTCAACATTTTTATGGGACAATAACAAGAAAAAGTAAACGTGCAACTTAATAGGCAATAAATTACAAGGAGGAATAGATATGCTAGACTTTAGACTCATATATAACTTCTTTAAAACTTAAATGGGTAAAAGCTTTAACTGATGAACAGAAGCAAACTGGAAATTAATTCCGAAACGCCTACTGAAAGATTTTGGTGACAATTTTTTATATATTTTATTGTAATACAGACACTATTAAAAGTCTCAATTGTAGATATGTGACTGAATTTATCAAGAATTATTGAAAATATGGATAAAAACTCGCGATTAACATAAGGAAATCAAAATTGACATTTGAACAAATAAAAAAACAAATATATCTGGGGCAATAGATTTATTAAAATTAAAAACCAATGTTTGTTTTTAAAACATGGATTAAATCGAATATATATTTTTTAAATGATTTACTTAATGATCAGGGTGAAGTAGAGTCAAAAATGTTATCTTAAATAAGCTAGTAATAAACGCAACTGCGTTGTTTGAATTAAACTTGCTCTTTAAAGCTATACCTCTAGCCTGGAAACAAACTATGAAAACGTTTTCACTCTTCGCAACAAAAAATAAAAACAGAAAAACGTCTTAAGATAAATAACAAACTTTTGAATTGATGGATTCAAAAACAATATATCAAATATTAGTAAACAAAGTATTCATTAAAACCGCTACAACATTCGTATTGGTCAAATAAATATGAGACAAAACTAAACTGGAATGATATATATAAATTCATTACAAGACTTCTGATAATCGGTATAAACAATTCAAAATTTAGAGTAATAAACATGATCTTTACAAGCAAAGAAACGCGCTATAAATGGAAAATGGTCTCATCTCCACTCTGTAATAAATGTAATAAAATAGAAAGATTATCAACATTTTTTATCGATTGTATGGCAGTAAATGTATTTTGGGAGAAAATTTTATATATATTTCAAGAGTGCGGAATTCAAAAAATATACGTGGACTAGACATCCTTATTTTCGGTTATAAAATATCTCAAGAAGAATACTTTTTACATAAATGTTATACTCACCATTGTAGGTTTTAGTATTTATAAAGCTTACTTTTTTGTAGTAATAATTTTTGGTCAAATGAATTTAACATTTTAAAACTGTTTAAAACAGAATTTGAAATAATTTATCAATACTTTTAAATACAAGAAGAAAAAAGTTAATTTTTTTGACATAAATACTACAAATTTTAAAAGATATATACTAACCTCTAGATAGTATGTTTATGTACGTTGTAACTCTAATACATATGAATATCTCAAATTGAATTTGTTAAATTATGTCATTGTATATATGTATAATTATGTATAATATTTGTGAATAAAAAAAAAAAATTAAAAAAAAAAAAAAAAAAAAAATTACCCCAATTTTTTATTCCTCAACTAACAAATTCTTAATACTTAAGGACAAATTTCATGTTTACAGAAAATGTGATTAATAAAGGATCTTATATTAAATCTTTGAAGGTTTTGTGACACTTGAGCACACTATTGTTGTTGTTTATACTGATAGATTTAGAAACAATTCTTGTTATTGTTGTTTGAAAAACAGTATATTTTTGTCGACAGATTATCTTCAGGAATAAAATGATTTTATCTCAAAAAAAAAAAAAAAAAAAAAAAAATTTCTGTCCCCTGTTTAGTTATATATATATCTCACACTGGCCAACGTATAAATGACTTTCGGTTTGTCCAGGTTGTAAAGGGAAAGTTGTAAAGGACACTATTATAGCGTGCAATATATACTTCATTCGTCAATGAACATTTTACACGGAACCAATGCTTCTGTCTATTTTTACAATATTCAGTGTTTGAATTTCCCAGACCTTTGTAAAGGAATATAGTGTCTCGTACAAAAACCAAAATTATAAATGTACATTAAAGTTTTCTATTCAAGAGCCTATGCTTTTCATTATTATTATTTGACTTATTTCTTATGGTATTTGTAATTCAGTAGGAATGTAAAGATCATGATTGTATGTATCTTTAAATTCCAATCTTTATTATTATTTTGTACATGCTTTGTTTAAACAGCTATCACGAATAAGTATGCTTATCATTTCTGTAGATAAAAAAATGGAAAAAGGAAGAAATAATATATACTTTATTATCGGGTAACGACAGATGAATGTATGACTTACAACTTATGTGGAGCCGAATGCGCTACGTATTGTTTTATGAATAAGCCTTGAAACCGTATTTGTCACATAAAAATCTATAGAATTAAAGCAAGCCTACCATCAGTTGCAGTTATCATTCTTACTATTTCAGTGTGTTCCGTTGGAGATTTTATGTCCACCAGTTGCCATCCAATCTTATTGCACGTCTCCTGAAACATGCAATGGTTATCAGAAAACAGACAAAAGAAACACCTTTAAACAATTCTCATTAAAGGGAAGCAACACAAAACAAGATCAACCAATGCAATGCTTTGCAAGTGAAGTCTAAAGTTATAATTGTATTATATATTCTTCCAGATAGTAACAGAATGTAACACACATTAATAAAAAGTCGTGCCAATAAAACATTTTTATCTTTCTTATTCAGCATTTGAAATCATTAATTGTGTTATTAAATTTAGTAAATTATTCCAAAGCAAACGGTTAAATTGAATGTCAAAATAAAAGTACAGTATTTGTTAAAATAGTAATAGGGTGTGTAAATACGTAAACGTCCGAAATAAATTAGAAATAAATTAGTTATGCAGTAAGTATGTTTTAGCTTTAAGCATGAATAAACATAGAACATATATAGATTGGCTTTTGACCATGGCTGTATTTCCCATATCAGCATGTAGAACGTTTTGTCAACACATTATTGCATGATGCTATTTATTGAATGAGGACATTGGTGAATGTCATGACAGAATTGTATATAATTATGTAACAGTCAATGTAAATTCAAAAATTCAGAAATTGTAAAGATGATCATTTAGCAATGCACTAACTATCACTCAGTTACACATACAAGAATATATATCGCAATCAGAATATTTTTTCTGAATTAAAGTTTACTAAATTTTTGATAAAAACTTGTGATAGCAGTGGTCTATGTAGCGAAGCACTGCGTAGGAGTTTAGCCCTGAAGGTGAAGTATATGATTATAATTGTGTGGTTTATTCATCCGGGTCCTTACAAAATGTGAAACAAATTAATAGGAGGTCATGTATATAAATTAACAAATAAATTTATTATCTTTCTTATTTGATATTTATGTTCATCTTCAGTTGTTTTAACAGTGATTAAAAAAAAAATTATGAACCTGTTTAATTGAATTTATATTAAATATATTGTTTCAAATAATAAAAAAGGTATACTTTTTAACAATTCTAAAAAAAACTGGAAGTACAGTATAAGATGAAAAAAAATCGGAGTGGAGAAATAACCAATCTGATGATATTAAGGGAGAAATAAATTAATAATGTTTTAAGTATGTTTTAGAATTAACATACATTTGCTTCTGACCATGGCTTCTTTGCCCTTATCAGCATGTAGAACGTTTTGTCAACATTGTAAACTACGCCTGAAAAGATAATTTGTCAAAATAAATACTGGACAAGAACATTTAATTCAAAGAAATAATTGCATTATGCTTTTAACTGAATGAGCACATTGGTGAATGTTATAAAAGAATTGTATATACATGACAGTCAATGTAAGTTCAAAAATCAGAAAATATAAAAAAAGGATCATTAATTATAAGAGAAATACTCATTTACATATACCAGGAACGCAGGCGAAGTCTTGTCTACTCCAAGTACCATTGTCAAGGCACTCTGAAATCAATGGAACATTTTTGTTTGATGAAAAGCCATCCTTACATTTGTATTGGACTTTATCGCCGAATGAGAACATATTCCCTAATACTTTTGCGTTTTCCTTTTCCTCAGGCAAACGACATCCTGGAAAGTATTAAAGATTGGATTCAATTAATGCACAAATCTCTTACGTACTTCTTTACATAGAGGTGTTAAAAGTCCAATAACTACCAGAAATTGCCATGCAATAGGTCCTCTTTAGTGATCAAATGTAATTCTCATCTAGTGTAGACATAGCTCTGTACAGATTGATAATACAAATTTGTGAAGGTTATCTTGCAAAATATGAAAAAGGAAATAATGAAATAATCTATCGCGATTGTGTAGAAGATAGGATTGGTAATAAGCCAAATCTGTCCAATTTTCAAACTTGTTATGAAATTGGTATAAGCTCATTTAGAGAGGTTATGTTAAGTGTAACGAAGTAAAGCGATCCCAATAGATCCACGGATAAGGTTTTATAGTAAAAAGAGACCCCTTTTTCTATCAAATACTATCAAATACTGATTCCCTCAAAAGAAAAATGACCTGAAACATGTAAAAAAAGTGTCCCCTATCTACATGTAATTGATTTCAAACTGATTATCCACTACTGGAAGCTGATGTTGTCGTCGCAACATACGTGGTACATTCTCTTTCACTTTTATGAGACCTTGATCATTATTATGTTCCAGTCTTAAAAGTCAACAGTTTGTTTAAGAATATATTCATATACATACATCTTTTCTTGTTTTTATTGTTTGTTTGAATCAGTCAAGCATCTGAAGCATCTTACCAGTTTTCAGACTGGCTGTATAATTACCTCCGACATTTGATCCAAAGTCTTCATCGTCTTCATTATCTACATACTCATATTGATCATCCTTTGAAGATAAGAATAATAAATAGCTGTATTCTTTTATGGTACCTCGTTATTTGAAATTAGTCAGAACATATGAGGCACATATATACATACTTGTACTCGAAGATTTATAACATGTCAACAAACGGCTAATTCATATACTGCATGTTTAATAATCCTAGAAGTATAATTACATATCACAGTGTTTACATGAGCTACTTCCTGTTTTTGCAACAAAAGCTCGAGTTAAAATGTTTTATAGGCACCAAAAGAGACGTTACGATAGTGGTCGAAAGTAGCAAATGCTTGTAAAAAATATTGCAATACATGTTACATAACGAATGGTAAAATCTTTGCAAGACAGTGATTTCGTTGATCCACTGAAACATTGGCAATAAATATATAATCTGAATTCATAACTAAAAAGGCGATGTTATAATATGTTATTTACTCATACAGTTATATCACATTGTCTTAGAAACAATAGAATATGTATTTACATTTGCATATATTTGCATATATGAACATTTGCAATACAATGTGTAACATACGTTAGAGATGTCCTCGGCTTTCGAAAGAGTAAACTTATAACGATCTAATTAACCAAACCTAAACACATTTAAAGAATTGGAAAGAAATGCTTAAATATTCACTTGACCCTTTTAATAAGAAATATGATAGGATTCATTATTTTAATTACATTTTTTTAGTTTATTTCTTCCGGTTTAAGGTTTATAGCTAAATACTTTGGCAGCTGCATATTTTGGCAAATAATGAATTAAATAGTTAATAAAATAAAAATGCATAGTTGACAACATGTTTTGTTTATAATTACAAAAAAGTTCGGATAACTATCATAAATTTGTAGACGAGCTGCTTGAACTTTTGAATCAAATGTAAAAAGGAAAGTGTATAGAAACTTTTTCTTTTCATTATTTCATTATAACTTAAACCACTCGAAGTGAAATCAGGGATATATTTAAATACAAGACAAAACAAACGGCTTGATTGCGTAAAAACCTTTGATTTTTAAATATATTGTGGTAAAGTTAGGAATGTATTCATTTGATTATGCTGCATTATGTAAATATTATGTCATATTTTGTAATTTAAAGTTACATCATTGTTCATTTATTTTTAA